TTCATTGGGCTGATATTATAAACATAAAGACTTAAAAATGACTTCTCACTACATGGTTTTAATTCTGGCAGAAAAGCATACCTTAGGCTTAAGCATTATTGTAATAAAATTTAAAGGACACCAAGCTGTAAAAATAATTTTTTAAAATGTCAAAGACTTAATTATAACAACTGCCCTGATAATTTTAACAGGTCTTACTATTTGTACTTGCTCCAGCTATCTATAAAGTTGCCAGGAGTTTAACAGTTGAATACACAATGAACCTAACGAAGCTTAAGCATAGGGTTCTGTCTTAGTGTGGGCCTCTTCTATGGCTCCAGCCTCTAGAACCACCACGAATTAAACTTCTATTCTTTATAAATTTTCCAGTTTCAGGTAATTTGTTATAGCAGAAGACAACAGACTAAGATAGACCCTTAATGATATGTTCACATACTCATATGTTTTCATAAAATGCATACAAATATTTTAAACATAATCAATTAAGGATGTTAATCTTTCCATTTTAATTATCAGTCACTCTTGCCTGCTGTCCAGTGGCTGGTAAGACCATGAGAATTTTGGGATTCAGCCCAGGGCAAGCTGAGTTAAGCATGCATTCCTATGGTCTAAAAGTTTATATTCCCTCCAAATTCATATGTTAAAACCCTCACCCCAAGATGAGTATTAGGAGATGAAGTATTCATGAGAAATAAATTTCTATTGTTTACAAGCCACCAGAGTATTTTGTTACAGCAGCCTGAAAGGACTAGGACATGTATTTACTTTTGGATTACTGGTATCTAGTTGTTTTTCCAAAGCACTTTGAAATTACTACCAATAATTGTATGTAGGCGTGACTTCCCAGAAGGAATATTCCTTTCTCCTGTTCTGCTTACTTTCCTGATGTCTAGAATTGGAGGTATATGGTCAAACATATTATCTGAACCAGATGCAAGTGAGCAGTAGAGGAGAAGCTGGCCTGTGGAAAGCTCTTTCAACTATCAGATTTATAAAATTAAAAGGAAAAGGGACTTTGTCATTCATTGTTACCCCATGTTAATCAGTCTTCCATCACTGTGACAAACTATCTGAGATAATCAACTGTAAAAGGAAGAAAAGTTTATTTTGGCTCACAGTTTTGGAGGTTTTGGTCCTTGATTGGTTGCACTGTTACTTTTAGGCCTGTGGTAGGGCAGCACCTCACAGAGGGGGGTGCATGGCAGAGAGAAGTTGCTAATCTCATGGCCCCAACATGAAACAGAAAGAGAAAAGACTAGGGTCCCACAGCTCCCTTCCAGGACCTGCCTTTATTGACCAGAAGATACCACACATGCATGCACGCACACACGCACACACACAGGCAGGCAAGCACACACACAGCTCCATCTCTTAAAGATTCCACCACCTCCCAGTAGTGCCACTCTAGGGAACAGCTTCCACACATGGGCCTTGGGGGCACGCACTCCAGATCCAAACCGTAACACTTTATCTAAACTGAACTTCCCTAGTGTCAAAAACACATTCACAAAGGCACCACAAACTATTACAAAAGTATAAAACAATTCCAGGAATCTGGAAGATTCAGAATTTATCATAATTCTGGTATATGTATAACATAGTCTTAGAGCACAAACAGCTCATATGTGAAACAAATTTAGTCAGAGTTTTCTCACATTTGAAAGGCATTCTAAAATTTAAAGGACAAACAATAATGACATTGGAAGACAAAGTAACTTTTTTTGAAATAATCAATCATTTAAAAAAGCCAACTTAGATTCACCATGTAAAAGAGGAGAGGCTAAAAGTGTCCCTTTTCTCCATGTAGAAATATTGCAAGTCTGTGTTATATGAAAACAACAAAAACAACAACAACAAAGATTATAGAGCTTGTCAGGTGAGGGGATTAATAATTTAATATATGACTCCAAAAACAAAGCAAAAAAAAAAAAAGAGAACAAAGATATTATAAACATGTGTTAGGCAATTTATAAAAATATTGTTTGTGATTTTGTGATTTTATGTAATTTTTAAACTTTTAAAACTAAACTTTTGTAATTTTATGATTTTTTTTCTGTACCCAGAATTGATGAGCTAAATCTCCAGCCTAATTTCTTATTTTGAATACACATTCCTCATCACACTTAGTTTTGTATTATTTTCTTTAAAGAGGTCTCATTTTAGTCTGTTCTTGGTGCTATAACAAAAATGCCTTAGACTGAAATTTATAACGAAAAACAATTCATTTTGTATAGTTCTGGAGGATGGGAAGTCCAAGATCAAGTTGCCAGCAGATTGAGTATATGGTGAGGAGTGATCTCTGCTTCCAAGATCGTGCATTCTTGTTGCATCCTCAGATGTAGAAAGGGCAAAATGGAGGAGCACTATGTTCTCACGTGGCAGAGGAAAAGGAGAGACCAGACTTATAAGGACATTAACCCCATTCACCAGTAGGGGTCCTAAAACCTTCTAAAACTCCACCCTTAGAACCATTACCTTGGGGATTAAATTCCAACATAGGACTTCTGGAGAAACACACACATTTAAACCATAAAAGCCTCCAGACGATATACAGGCGCACTTCAACTTACGATAAGGTTATGTCCTGATAAACACATCATACATTAAAAATGTTGTAAGATAGGCAAGATTCATTCACTTACTTTTGGACTACATAACACATTACATGGCTCAAAATTCAAAACACAAAAGTCTCATTCTCAGGTCTGTGCCCAGTCACTCTGTAAATCCACAGAGCATGTTATAATTAGTTTCACATACTTCTTTCCAAAGTTCAGTTGGTTCCGCATATTCTCGGTCTCCAAATCTTCAGATTCAACCAACTACAGATCAAAATATTGGGAAAGAAAAATTGCAATTTTATTAAACATGTACAGACCTTCCCCCCACCCCCAACAGACTTAGGAATTTCCTTTCTTATATTCTCCCTTATGTTCTCACCTTATAGCACAAGTTACAACCTAAGTGCCAGAAGAGAATTCCAAATATTATTGTGCTCCTCCACACTCAACACCTAGAGCAGGAATTGTATTTTATCATTTTCCTATCTGTAAAGCACAGTGGTGTATTTTAGAGACACTAAATAGAAGTTGGCCCAAAGTGGAATAAACTGTAGTCATTAAGATGATAGAGTAAATTTATAGTAACCCCTGAAACTTTAAAAGAATAACTGAGTTAAATTGAAAAACCTAGCATTGCAGCTGTGAAAAATGTGATCTTCTTTATATTGATTGTGAAATGGGTGTAATGAATTACTCGTTTTTACATAAGTTTAATTTTTTCCTTAAACTTCTCAGAAAAAGATGTACATTCATTCATTAAAATTGGTCCCCTTAGCAGAGAAGACCCTGCATTCCCTACAGCACTTCTCTGGGGCGGTCGGTTTTCATTTAAAATGTGAATTCTGGATTTTAGAAGTTAATAGGGGGCCAGGATTATAGCTCAGTGGTATAGCACTTGCCTTTGCCAGAGGCCTTAGGTTTGATTCCCCAGTGTGTGTGTGAAAAATGGAAGGGTCAGGCAGGAATTCTCAAACTCCTACCTCCACTATCATGAATCTCAAATGCTCTGCCTCTTTGTCACCAAGGAACAAAAATTTGTCAAGACTAAGTATTTATATAGAGCCAGAGGACAAATGTGGCTCATGGTATAGAAAGGCTTTAAACATTTAAATGTGTGCAATTAATCAGTTCCATTCTTTATCCTAATCAGGGTCTTCTAAGACTCATAATTAGAGGGTGTGGTTATCAGTCTTTGTTTTATGTGCCATTAAGTTCAGTTCAAAGAGAAATTCATACCTAGTGGATCCTTATTACTCTGTTTTACTGCTTTATTTTCTTAAAAAATTTGGGCCAGGTATTTAGCTCAGTGGCACTGCGCCTGCTTTGCACGAACAAGGTCCTGAGTTTGATCTTCGGTACCCTCCCCCCCAAAAAGATTTCACAATGATGTTGAAGTGCAGAAATGGCTTAGAGTATGATGGAGGATAGTGAAGAAAGAACTTTTGACACTGGATTATTTAAAGTATAATTTAGATCTCTGTCTCTCATTCTCTTTTTCTCTGTCTGCCTGTTTCTGTCTGTCTGTCTGTCTCTGTCTCTGTCTCTCTCTCTCTCTCTGGCACTGGAGATTGAATCCAGGGACCCTTTACCACTGATCTGAGCTCTCTTTTCCCTTTTAAATTTTTTAAAATTTTTAAGCAGGGTGTCAGTAAATTGCTCAGGCTGATCTTGAACTTGTGATCCTCCTGCCTCAGCCTCCTGAGTAGCTGGGATTACAGGTGTGTACCATTGTGCCCAGATGAATTTTTGTGTTTTCAGGAATAACGTCTGGGAAATTTGAAAAATTCTGATGTGAAAGTGTTTTAAAATTTTAAATATTTTAAGTTGTTAATTTTTCAATAAATAAAAATTTAAAATAAAAAACAAAGCACAGCTATATATACATATAATTGCATATATATAATTGGAAATGTTTCTTTACATTTTTAAGGATGTCTTTCATTTTTTCATCAACTCCTTTTCCATTACCTTATTAAGGTTCCTGAAATATATTCCTTTGGCCTGGCTCACTAATCACCCATTTTTTTAATAGAAGACAATTATACACTAGCTTTTAAATAATAAAAATAAAATAATAGAATCTCATTTTAAGTGAAATATCACTTTTGTGATGAGCTATTTGAGGCCAATAACTTTTAATTGTGCCGATACTGGCAGAAAAAAATTAAAAAGAAAATCAGAGCGATCAGTAGCTTCTGGATGACTAGAAACAGTAGGACGACGCTCTCCTGAAATAAGAGACCTCAGATTCTGTCGGCGCCCGCCTTCCTGCTTTTTCTCCAGCCGCCGTTTCCTCTTTCTTTCGCGCTCTAGCCACACAGGAAGCCCCACCCAAGAGTAGCTGGGCTCTGATTGGCTCCTTTGAAAGTCTACGGGTTATTGGATTGGTGGGTCCGAGCCCCTTTAGCGCGGTGAGTTTGAAACTGCTTGCACTTGACTTCAGAAGCTGGCCCTGGGAGGTCCTGTGAGGAGAGACGCAGGCGAGGTAGCTGCTGCCGCGACCGCGGCGGGACGATACGCGGGTAGAGTAGTCGGGCTCAGGGTCGTGCTTGTAGGGCGTCGCCTTGGCCGAGCGTTGAGAAGCGGGTGGCCTTCCGGAGGCCAGGCTGGGCTGCCTTGGCCTTCGCCGGGCCGGGCTTCTCTCCAGAGGGACCGGGAAGCCGGGGGCTGCCTGGCCTGAGCTAGTCTGGGGCCTAGTCTGCGACCAGCCCCGAGGGGCGCTCGGAAGGCCTCGGTTCCAGCACTCCAGGCGCCTGCGGGGTGCAGCTCGGCCCCAGGCCCTCCTTCCCGCGCGGGGTGGAAATCCAGACCCGCCTGGGTCGGACGAGGCCACCCCGGGTCCAGGGCTGGCGCCTCCTCAGGCGAGACCCTGTGCCCACCCGGAGTTTGGAACTGGAAACGCTTAGCTAGGGCGCAGAGCCAGAGGAACCTGAGGCTCTCTTCCTTGATACCTGCCTGTTGGGTATGGTAGTAGCCTGAAACAGAAAAGCTAAGAAAGGCCGAGAGAAACATTTTTGTCTCTGAATCCTCGAGTCATCTCTCATACTTAATACTGAAGTTACCAGTGTGCCCGTCTTGCGCCCCCTGACGACCTAGAGGTCTTTGGAACAGATGCAAACATAGGTATTTCGGCTATTAGGGTAGAGAGGGCCCTGGGAGGCTCCAGCATGCATTCACAGCAGCAACTCTGTTTAAAATTGTTACAACTGGAAAATGGTGGGAGGGGATTGAGTCAAGCTTTGAAATTGAGTTAATTTTTAGCTATTTGTTCCAAGTGAGCTCCACAATTTTACTGTACTCTATATTAAATGTGGTTATTGAGTAAAAAGATAATTGTTTTAATTGTCCATATGCCATTTCATAAAATAATAAAGTCTTGAGATTAATACTCATGACCAATCCCTAAATCCCCAAGATCCAAAGACCCTAGGCGAGCTCATTTTAAAAGAATCTCTGGCCCAGCAGGGTGATCCTTGCACTCGGGAGGGAGGCTGAGTCAGGAGGATAACCATGAGGTCGAGGCCAGCCTGAACTACATAGCGAGACCCTGTCTCAAAAACAACCCACCCAGATTAATCTCTTTTCTGGATTATTTTCCTTTGAAGAAGAATTTAAGAAAAAGAATTTCCTGAGATTCACTTAGTGAGTTATAATGATTTTATTATCAGTGATGAGTGATTGGAAAAATCAAGGCTTAGATTTTGTGTGTGTGTGTGTGTGGTAGTGGGAATGGAACTCAGGACCTTGTGCTTGCCCTGCAGGCTCGGGCGCTACTGAGCTAAATCCCTGTCCCTGGATAAACAAGATAATTATCTCTGGGCTTCTCAAGTGGCCTTGGAAAACTTACCCAGCCTAAGAAGGCTTTAATGTCTGGTTGTCAGATTTTTTTTCTTTAACTGTTGTTTGTGATTCAAGTGTATTTTATTTAAGCTTGGTTCCTCATACTGTGTAGGTTATAATTAGAATTTTATATCTGTGGAATTGAACATTTCCTTATAGGGAGTTTAGTGGCATTTTTCACTTTTGAAAGTCTTGAGTGTGTTTTGTCTGTGACTGCTAAAAACAAAGATTAAAACTGAAACCACTGTAAATACAGTACTTAAATATTTTTGCTGCTTTAAACAAAAGTCCTATTTCTAATTATTGAACAGTCTGACCACATTCCTTCTAATGACTAAATTTCTTTTGAAAAGTATAAGGCAGTACAAATTCAATTAACACTTAAAATATTTGGCTATAACTTTGTCACACATTGTTACTAAAAAAAGATAACTCTTTGGGGGGGAAAATAATGTCTGAATTTAAGGGTTAATTTCCAAGAAGCTAAGTAGTACATTATTGAATATACAAATGTAATGTTTTAGGAGCTAATAAGGATAAGAAAGTTATTGCAAGAGTCCTTATCCTTGTAAATGTTTTAATATATTACTAATATTAGTTATTACTAATATTTATGGAATGTGGAAAATGGTTTATATGTAAAACTACCCTGAGTTAATGGCATCTAATCAAATCAGTTTTTCCTCTTGTTTTAGGATCTATCATACCTGGTGAACAACCATGGAAGACTACACCAAAATAGAGAAAATTGGAGAAGGTGAGTGGTTTTTAAACCTAATATACATATTTGAAAAACTTATTTAATAGTGCTTCTTTTGTAACATTGAAGATGTGTAAATATTAATTAAGAAACCTTGTAAGCTGGGCCTGGTGGTGCAAGCCTATAATTCCAGTGTTCCGGGAGGCCAAGGCAAGAGGATTCTTCCAGCCCAGTCTGGTCAGTTTATGGACTTACTAAGATCCTGTGTCAAAATAAAATATTAACCTATGGAGCATAACACTAATTTTGTCATAAAGGTGCATTTTTAGAATATGTCTATTGAGATATTATTAATTTTAATTTTGAGTTTTATATTAAACAATGAGTACTTAACAGGAAAAAAATCACAAAAATAAAGTATTGACTTTAATATTTATTGAGTTTATAAAAAGCCTCAAAATTTTCAACATCGACTTTTTTGGCGTACAAAGTCAAAAAAAGAACAACACAAATTCTTGGGTGAACTACAATGAAAATACCAATAGGTTACAAAAAAAAAAGTAATCTTCAATTATCACACCTAAGGCAGTCTGCACACATGACAACAGCTTGTTACATAAACATATCCCTTACACTGACAGCACATGTGTTTTGCTTTCCTGGCCTTTTTGTAGGACATACTTGACATCTCACTGGTCTTGCTGTTTTGTCAGGAGTTTCTTATTATATTATATGGTATATAGTTCAAAGGAACATAAAATATCAATAAAATAAAGTATTAAATTCTTACTATGTATTGCGTTTAGAATAGACATCAACATTTTCACATCAGCTGTGTACCCGCTTACAAAACCTTAAAGATAACATCAGAAATAACCTATGTGAACTACAATGTAAATACAAACAAAAGTCTACCACAGAAATAATCTTTGATTCAACTGTCACATCCCAGGCAGTCCTCACACATGACAACTGCATGTTCCATATATAAGTTTACACTGATGGCGCATATGTTTTATTTTCTTGTCCTTTCTTATAGAGAGCACAGTTGACATCTTTTTGGTTTTCCTGTTGTCATACTTGGGGTTTGTGATGCTGCGCTGCCTTTTCACCTGTCAGTGCACTAGTGCTGCTCCCACAGTTTTTTAGTGTAGTTCCCTGCACAGAAACATTTTGTTTTTGTTCTGTTGTAAATGATCTCTTATGAGTTCCAGTCCCATTCCTCTAAGGAAATTTCTCCGTGATATTTTGTACTTGTTATTTTCTTTGTAAAGTATCAAACTATTTATGCCACACATGTTTAGGATCGAGTAAAACACAACTATTGGCCAATGCTTTGTGTTTTGAGTGACATCATAGTTGCAGCATAACTCATCAACATCTACTCCACCTTTGATTTTCTTGTAGAAAATTTCCGTCTCAGGCTTCTCTTTTGTTGAGGTTTCCCTGTCAGTATTTCCACCATGGTACAATGTTGATATCAGCAGTGTCAGTTTGTTTTTCTTTGCCACGTATGAGGCCAATGTAAATCTTTCTGAAGTCCAAGATTGTACTATGCAATTCTCTTTTAAAATTTCATTTCATTTGGAATTTCTGCTTAGTTCCTGCACTGGTCAACTTGTTCTCTGTTAGCAAATGTAACATCAATTCGAAATTGGTAAACCAATTGTCAAATGTCACATTCCAATTATTTTGGGAGATGGGAGCAATAAGTCTGTTTATAACATCATTTGGTTTATTACTATACTGATGGCTGGGTTCCAGGATAAATGTCTGAATTGAAAGCATAATAAGTCTTCACATCTAGCGGCATCAATTTTTATGCCATATCTCGACGCATCGCTGTTCCATAATTCTTTTACATTCCTGCAATTAGCATGAGAAATGCCTGCTAAGTACAGCAGACCCATGAATGCTTTCAGTTCAGCAAGTGAGGTGGCATAATAAATATATTTTTTAATATGGCTCTTGGTGCATATAGAATGTTTTACTTGCATTTCAGCCTTTGTATATTTCATAACACCTTGTAGCATTTCATCTGTTACGATTTCCAACATAGAATGGCAGGGGTGGCATTCTGCCCAATACGTTTCACCCCTGCCAAGACTTTCACCATATTTTTAGACCTAGCTCTAACATTGGGTCATTCCATTTGGTTGTGAGGCCATTTTGCAATATTTTGACTAGTCAAATATGTACTCACATTGCTGTTTTCTCTGAATCAAGGAGGTCTGCATTCTCTGTGTCAGTGTCACAGGAAATTTAGCTCACATGGCCAACGTGAAAGTCATCATCACTCTTCTGTTATGAAAACATGTGTTTTACAATAATGGGTCATCTTCATCATTCATGTAATAGTAATCTGATGATTCACTTTTTTTTTCTCAGTACCAGGCGTTGAACTCAGGACATTGTGGTTGAGAGGCAGGTGCAGCACCACTAAGCTACATTCCCAGCTCTGATGATTCACTTTTGACCTCCAAAACTTGCAAATCTGGTTTTTCATGTGCCACTGTACTGAATTGGGCTACTTCTACCAGAAAAATCAAAAGATAACTTTTTTTTTTTTAACAAATCCTGGATTGATGTGGGTCTATTGGACCCTTTGATGCTTAAATATATGAGAAACCAGTTAGATGGAGCATAACGAGTAAAAATCCACTTTTGCCACTTTTGCACACATGCACATACCTTGCTATTCATACCAAGAAGTGTGTAAACCCATAGATTGCTTCCTGTATCCCTCAGGGAAAGGTACTGAGATGCACAGCCAGCTATTATTACACTAAAGTACAAATTTACAGTACAAGTGTAAGGGACGGGGATGGGGATTTAGTTCTGGTTCTGCCACCTGCCTTGGGAGCGCAAGGTCCTGAGTTCAATTCCCGGTACCAAAAAAACCCAACCAAACAAATGTAAGGGATGGATCCACTGGACCCAGTGTCATGCTTGGTGGGTTAATAAAGAGGTGGAGATGTAGTTTAAAGCAAAGGCCTTGGGTCGGATTCCCAGTACTGCAGGAAAAAAGAAGGTGTCTTGTAGTAGCAATATGGATTGATGTACTTTATGTAAATTAAAAAAATCTTTACATTTCAGGAGTTAAAATTACTCTACTATGACTCCTTGGTGACTCCCCCACCCAATAATCAGAACTTTTGATACTAAACATTTATAGTATTTGTGTTTTGAAAGCACTGTAATTTGTATATGTACTCGGTGGACAAAGGTTAGGAAAGTAGTATGATACTAATTTTATAAAATGTTTTTTTTTAGTCTTTTACAGTTCTTTTTAGTATATAAGACTAAATTTTACCTAAACTTTATAAACTGTTTATAATAACTGATGTTTTTGAGATAAGTTCTCCCTGTGTAGTTAAGGCCAATCTTGAACTTACTGTAGTACAGGCAGGCCCCGAATTAAAGATTTTTTGCCTCAGCCTCCCAAATGCTGGGATTATAGGCAGACAGCACCCCACCTAGCCTATAATAATTGCTTGTTAAACTAACGTAAAATTTCTAGGTGTAAATAATCTGATGTGTTTGTGTATAAGATATTCTGAAACCAATAACTTTTGTGCAAAATCATTCCCTTTTTGTAGTACTTTACAGAATTTTTTTTTTTAACGGAATGTTTAGATATAGCTGGACATGATGGCACACACATGTAATCCCAGTTATTGGGGAGGCTGATATAAGAGGATCATGAGTTCGAGTCTAGTCTGGGCAACTTAGTAAGGCCCTATCTCAAAATAAAATTTAAGAGGGCTGGTATGTAGCTTAATAGTAGAGCACTTGCCTAGCATGCCTTAGGCCCTAGTTCAATTCTTAGCACCAAAAAAAAAAAACCTATATAGCATAGATAAAGGATAAATTTATCTCTGCCTAGGTGTTTTTCATTGTTTGTTTTTTATTTTTCTGAGACAGAGTCTTGCTATGTAGTTCAGATTGTCCTTCAACTCACTATATAGTCCAGGCTGGCCATGAGCTCAGAACTCATGACAGTCCTGCCTCAGCTTTTCTGTGCTAGGATTACAGGCATGTACCGCCACACCCATCCAGCTAGGTTTTAAAAATTTTTCTCCTACAGAACATCCAAGTTTCTATATAGGAATTTTGAAGTGCTCATTTACCATTTTCTAGCAACAAATGAGAAAACTTGTACAAAGTAATTTATGTGTATTACAGTTTATGTGTATTCTGCTTGAGAAACATTTCCATCTTTATTTTTTGTGCTCAAAGGCCCCAGTTATACACAGAATATTTTTTAAAAAGGTGAGGAATACTGTGTGGAATTCAGTAAGGTAGAATGGCTAAGGTTTAGTGTTGAGTTGGAGATATATTCTTAGGTCTTTTTAAAAAATAAATTCTCTTAAATACATTATGAAATCCATTAGCTAATTTTGCTGCTGAATTAAAACTATCAAATATTAAGCAGATAGTATTATTGCTATGACCACTATCTTCCCATCCATCTCTTTACTGGCCAGTCTCATTGATGCTCCATAATTAGAGTTTCTTTAATGTCCTCAGTATGATCTACCTTTTAACCTATAAATCTTTAGCAGTGGCTATTCTTTCTTCCTGGAAGCCACCCTGTACTGACTCTTCATCTCTTTGCTCTTGGCCAAGAGAGCTTGATAGTTCCATTGGCATCATGCTTAGTATCTTTTGTTTTGTTTTGTTCTGGTGGTACTGGGGATTGAACCCAGGGCATCTTTAACCCTTTTTAATTTTTCATTAAAAGACAGAATCTTTCGAGGCTGCCTGAGCTACTCAGACACATGATCCTAACTTTCCTAGACTCTTACTGAGCTTTCTATCTTCCTGCCTCAGATTCCCAGAGCACTGGGATTATAAATAGGCAACACCACACCTGGCCCAATCCCTTCTTTATTTAATTGCTGTATTGCAAGTTACACGAGGACTGGCAGTTTTGTCTTGATCACAAGTGCCTGGCAATGTGTGTAGCCCACAAGATATACTCAAATATTTGATAATAACATTGTTCCCTTTTCCTTGTGTATTTTTCTGAACTGTCATTTCTTCTATTTCTACCATGTATAGTTTTGTCTACTCCAGTGCCTGGCTGTTTTGGAATTCTGCATTGGATATTGTTTGTTTTGGTTTGGTTTTTCTCTTTTTGAGACAGTGTCTCACTATGTTGCCCAGGCTGGCCTCGAACTGACCTTGCTATTTTCCTACCTCAGCCTCCTAAGTGTCACCTGACTGAATAATGTTTTTGAAAAATTATCTTGGGGAAATAAGACATAGATGGTGTCTTACATACAATTTTATTTTGTTTTCTCCCAGATACATGGTCAAACTATAGTTATTTAAATACTATGGTGATTTTAAACTTTTTTCCTCAACTTTTTATTTTGAACATTTCCAAACTTCAGGTAATTTGAAAGATTTATATGATGGACCTATGATATCTTCACCAAGATATTAGTGGCTTGTCATACTTTCTGTGTGTGCATTAGCAGTTTTTCTCTTAGATACATTTGTAGTAAATTGCATAGATGGGCTTTACCCCTAAACACTTCTGCATGTATCTTCTGAATATCCACCTTAGATTACACATTTCATTTGGCAGTTTTGTCTCAATTTTTTTTAACTTAAAATCCTATCTTTTATCCAGTGTGTGTGTGTCTGTGTGTGTCTACTTGGGACTGAACCCAAGGGCTCTCTGCACTGGGGTACATCCACAAGCCTTTAAAGAGATTTTTTTGTTTGTTTGTTTTAAATTTTGAGTCTCTTAAATTTCCAGGCTGGACTTGATTTTCTTTTTCTTTTTGTTTTATTTTGTGATCTAGTAATCAAAACCAGAGCCTCATGAATGTTACACAAACCCTGGATCACTGAGCTACCACCACATCCCCATCATTTTTTGTTTTGAGACAGCATCCTGGTAAATTAACTAGGCTGGTCTTGAACTTCAGATCCTCCTGCGTTAGCCTCCAGGGTAGCTTGGATTTCAGGTGTTCACCACCATATTTGGCATAATTTATTTCTTAAATATATCTAGACTTCTTTTATTTTGGATATTACAAAATTATTTTCTAGTTTCTGAATTTAAAAAAATCTGAATGTATAGTTTTTGAACTTTTCTTGTCTAATGACAGTGTCTCTGGCTCATAGATTGTAGCTGTATCCATGATGGAGGAAACTTACTGGCATTTAGTAGGACACTGTCAAATGAAGGCTTACTGATTACCACTCAAGGCTTCCATAACCTGGTCATTCCTACTTTATATTTCCTGGGAGAAGTCTTGTTAACTGGTCTCCTTCCAAGGTTTTCTGTGTTACGATGACCTTTTACTTACTTTTAAGGTAGTATTTTTCTTTTGCTTCCTTGGTTATTTATTAAGCTATTTAAAACAGTTGTATATCTAGAATACTTAGTTCATTTTTAGAGCATAAACTATGTATTTCCTAGTAATTTTTGGTGATTGACCAGTGAAATGATTCTGCTTTGCTTAATGCCTATTCTAGTAGTTCAATGAGAAGCGGTAACAGTTCAAAGAGTCAGAAGAGACACATAGAATGCTAATCTCTTAAGATTCAATTTAATGAATATTGAGTGTTGACCAACAGTTTTTATCAGTTAACTCTGTAAATTACTTAGGAGTAGATGAGATTATGCACTTGAAGGAGAAGAAAGGATACAAAAAAAGAATTAGTTCTGAATTTTCCATCAACTGCTTGGCTGTATTATGCAAGTGACTAATCTTCTTGAGGCTATATGTTAACAGTGCCAAGTGTGCTACTGGCATGCCTCCTTTTGTGTTCAAGTGCAGGTATAATATACATTCCCCCCAAATGATCAGCTGTTAGATGTACAAAAGATTACCTACCCCATTTTTGGCAGGGTTGTTGATGGAACCCGTGCATGCTAGGCTAGTGCTCTGCCACTGAGCTAAATCCCCAGCCGCAAACTTTTAAGGATGACAGTGAAGATTGAATGAAATTAGCTCTCCTTTAATCTGGAACAATTTTGATCAATTTAAGTTACAGTTAATCCAAAATATAATCAAAATATTATAGAATGGGTTTATTTAAAATGGCACTAGTATTTAGGAAAAACATGCAGTTTAAAAAAATTTGCAACAAAGCTTATGTAACATCAATTTGCAGTTGATCAAATTGCATGGTATTCAGATGAAGCAGCTGATGTTAGTGGTTTTTAGCTTTTTGAAATATTCCTACCTTGAGAGAAACTGATAAAAACAATAGACTTTATTAGGAAAATGTACTCTGATCACTTTTGTAGTTGGTACAGATGTCATGGAAAGCAAAAGCTTTTCCACAAAATTCATCTATAATTGAGGGATTCTACAGCTTTTTAAATTTCAACCTAAGTTTAAAAAGCAATTTTCCAGGGAATTAAGTACAGCATGTATGTGAACTTGTTTAGGTAACTAGCCCATCTTCCTTATTTCCATTTCTATTTTCTGTGTCCACCCTCTCCCACTTTCAGAATCCCTTGTTGACACTGTTACTTATTATCTGAAGAACATATCAGGATAGTTTTTTGTCACCTTGGGAATGGATGAGGTTTTCCTATGTAGTAGGTAATGTGGAGCTTATAATAGATAGTTTGTAAGAACACCTGGTCCTTCTTGTCTTCATTCTTTTCTGGATAAGGATTGTTGAACATATTTTAAAATGTACACAACTGCTTGAAAGCTTAAATTATTCTATACAGTTTTCTGTGTCAGTTACTAAAACTTTGACTCTGTGTTTATGCCTGCACTTGTCCTGTAGGATATTTGGCAGGAGGTACATTTCAATGAATTTTCTTTTGTTATTTGTACTGGAACATTAAGGTTGGTTCCATTAATGTATGTAACTTGTGGTGCTACGTGAATTTTATTTTTAAACCATATACATGATACTTCGTAGTTGCCTTCATTTTCTTTTTGGAAGCAGTGCTGTATGCTTATGAGTAAGATACTTTGTATCTAGCCACAGCAGACATTTCCATTGTGTGATACTTTAAGGAATTTAATCATTTAAAAAATCCTTTAGGTTGTGGGATGTTGCATAGCAGATACTTACTTTTGTATTTCAGGTACTTATGGAGTTGTATATAAGGGTAGACACAAAACTACAGGTCAAGTGGTAGCCATGAAGAAAATCAGACTAGAAAGTGAAGAGGAAGGGGTTCCTAG